TGGTTACAGTCTGAGGGTGTGTCCTCCCTCACCTCACTCCAGGTGCGGAGGTGGCCTAACTCTAGACTCATCTCTAACGCTACATGTAGTCTCCAAAACATCATCACCGCCACAACCCGTCTCCCTCCCACACAAGACCTGCCTCTGCCGGCCTTGACCACCACATCGGAAGCCCCTGTGGGTGAAACCCCTCTTTCCCTCCCTCCCCATGCTTTTGTCTGCCCACACCTCTGCACCACACTATCCTTTGCAGCTGACTTGCAACAGATTAAAGGGATTTTAAACCAGAGCCCGATGGCTCCCAGCCCCGGCTCTGCGCAGAATCTGAACAGGTATCGGCCTGGGTCCCTTGGTTAATCACTTTTCACCGCTGTGACAAATACCCCCCGGGGAACTGGTTAACAAGAAAGGCTAGCGAGCGCGCACACTTTCAGAGGTCTCAGCCCAGGGTTGTGTGAAAGGACCCAGTGGGAACAGTGGCTCACTTGGCAGCGGTCAGGAAACTGAGAACAGACGTGGGGAGGTAGACACCCTTCCGATACAGGCCCTGACAGCCTGCTTCCTCCAGCTGGTCCCCACTCCTAACAGCTCATTCAGCTGTGAACTCACCCACGGATTAACCCAATGGTGAGGTAAGTCCCAATCACCTCTCAAAACAAAAAAAAAATTTTAAATAGTCTCTCTATGTAGCCTCCACTGTCCTGCCTCTGCCTCCTGAGTGCTGGGATTACAGGCATGCACCGCCACACCTGGTCCAATCACTTTTAAATAATGCCACCAGCTGGTTTCAGGTGGTTAACATAGAGACTTCTGGGGTGCTCTGCCTATCCAAACCATAGGAGCCTCACTGGTTTTAATTAAACAGAGTCCCTAGGGGACAGGCCTGTGTGAAGCTGGAATTTTCCTGTGTCCTGCCAGGTCTGCAGCCACTCAGACCCAAATAAACACACAGAGGCTTATATTGATTAAAACTGCTTGGCCATTAGCTCTGGCTTCCTGCTGACTAGCTCTTACACTTAAACTCAACCTATTTCTGTTCATCTATATGTCTCCACATTTTCAGTGGCTTTACCTGTGTGCCATTACATGCTGCTCCTGGATGGCAGGCTGCAGTCTCCTGACCCAGCCTTCCTCTTGCCAGAATTCTCCTTGTCTGCTTATCCCACCTATACTTCCTGCCTGACTACTGGCCAATCAGCATTTTGTTAAACCAGGGTACAAGAGCATTATCCCACAGCATCTATGTTCCTAGTGGCTGTGCTGGTAGCTCAGGTCCACCCTTAAGTGCCCTAAATGAAGGATAGTTTTCTGTCAGCTTGACAGGGCTAGAGTCATCTGAGAGGAGGGAGCCTCCACTGAGAAAATGCCTCCGTAAGATCAGGCTGTCAGCAAGCCTGGAGGGCATTTTCTTAACTGGTGATTGATGGGGAGAGCCTAGCCCGTTGTGGGTGGAGCATCCCTGGGCTGGTGGTTCTGGGTTCTATAAGAAAGCAGGCTGAGCAACCATGAGGAACAAGCCAGTTAGCAGCACCCCTCCATGCCTGTGCATCAGCTCCTGCCTCCAGGTTCCTGCCCTGCTTGAGTCTTGACTTCCTTCAATGATGAACAGTTATGTGGAAGTGTGAGCCAAACAAACCCTTTCCACCCCAACTTGGTCCTGGCATTTCATCACTGCAATAGTAACCCTGACTAAGAAACCCTCCAATGCCCTCTGCCTTTCCTCCTTATCCACATTTGGATTTGTTTATCTCTCTGATTTCTTCATCACATCTCAGCCCCCTTTCCTCTTTTTTGGTATCCATTTCTACCTGAAAAATGCAAGATTTCAGACGAAGTGCCTGCCATGATTTTGTAAAATCCCGCTTCCCAGAGCAACACTAAAGGTCCGTGGAACCTCTCAAGCCCTAGTTACTTAGCAGTTGAGGTCTCCGCAGCCTGCTTCTCCCACAGTCGGTTCACAGGATAATTACCATAGACGGGAGCCCCTGAAACTGTGCTCTCACAAAGGAGCGGTACTGCTGCCCTCAGAGTGTGCACGGTGACGGTGAGATGCCTGGAAGGACAGACAGACAGACCTGCTACTCTAAAAACCAAAGCCACCATGAGTACAGAAGGATTCCTTTCTGCAGAATGGACACTGGCACTTCTCGGGACCAAACGACCAAGTTCTGGATACATGCAGACCAAGTAAGCGCCTAGAGGGCGGTGTCAGAATCTTAGCTCTAGAATTCTTCCATGAAGAGAAAAGACACCAAAGGAGACTGAGAGCCAGTAGACAAGGCATGGCCCCAGCTGGTGCTCACCACCAAAGAGTTAAGTTTTCCATGTGAAAAGCATCCAAACATCTGGGCGTGGTGGTAGCTCACATCTGTAATCCCAACACTCAGGAGAATTACAAGTTTAAGACAAGCCTGGGATACAAAGTAAGACCCCATCCCACATATGTCTGTGTGTGTGTGTGTGTGTGTGTGTGTGTGTGTGTGTGTGTGTGTGTGTGTGTGTATTCATGTACACTTACCTACCCAAGATTTAAGTGAGCAGCAATGCCCAGTTTGTAGAGGGTTTTAACACTCTGACAATGTGGAGAGGAAGACCCTGGGCCATGGAAGGGAAGAAAGCTACCTACCCTCTGCCTTGCTCTGTCTCACAGGCAGGCCAAGGTTTGCCGTCCTAAATCTCTCCTGGCTGTGATTATTACCAGAGTGACCTCTGCACTGTTTGTCAGGGTCTAAGACCACTCTCAAAAACATCTGATTGGACCACCTTTGGAAATTCACATTAATGTTAATAAAGAACCTTCCCAATTTCCCAGAATAGTGCCCGGCCCAAAGGAGGCTCTTAGTTCATCTTATCAAATGTTGGTCAGATGGAACAGAATGGAGCTGCTCATTTGTTTCTGATCAGACACTCCAATGCCTGCTCTGTCAACAAATTCATTAATTCGACTAATATTCGTGGCGAGCCGATTTCATGCCAGGCTGGGCCTCTGGGGCCACCATGGTGATCCAGGCAGGCAACTAGCCTTATTAGAGACACTGTGAGGGAGCCATGGTCCCCACCCTTGAGCTGTTTATAATAGGGTGAGGGAACAGAACAGATCGGAAGCAATTAGAAAACAATTAAGTGTTAAATTATATGCCTCTGACGAGCCCAGGGGATTCTCGGGAAGAGAGGCAGCTAATGTCACCAGTGTTGTCACAGAAGAGATGATGTTGGCTGGGAGGATGGCCTGGGTGGGAGGAGTAGAGCAAAGTGGGGAAATAGAACATTTTTAGAGGAGGGCAGCCACCCAGGACCACTCCAGCAAAACCAAGGCTGTAGATGCTGGTCACACACTGGGGCAGAAATGCTCCCGAGGATGAGAGCTACCCTACTGAGGTGGGAGGATTTGAGATAATATTGTAATTGATGCCATTAAAAAAATGAAGTTTCTCTCCTCCAAAACATGAACGTGTGACTATTTCCTTTACACCTTAGCCTAAGGGAAGGAGCTGTGGGCTTCTTCCAACTCTGTCTGCAGCGAAAAGTCTTCGGGATCACCCGGGACCATTTCCCTGGCCCCGCCCCCAGAGTCCTGGATTCAGCAAATGTGGGATGGAGGGGGTTCGGGCACTTGTGCGTTTTCAGGGCTCACCGGGGATGCTGTTCATCCCATTGCTTTAAATCTCCATCATATTCCTGGGCGTGGAAAAGGAAGGATGTGAGTAGAATGTAGGTCTGTAATCTCAAAAACACGCGTGGAGAACATCCAGAGAATTCATAGCAGAAGAAAATCAATCTAACAAGCTGCACTCTTATGAGCTCCTGAATGCATCACGTCGTCAGGATTGGACCGAATTAATTAAAATCCGCCTTTACGGCATAGGCATGCCTGATGGGTGAGGAGGAAAGGGGGGACTTGCCTTTCTTTCACACAGTAGAAAGATGAAGCTGGGATTGACTTAGACCTAATGTGACAAACATGCTCTTTTTCCATCTTTAGCTGGGTAGGTCGCCTTGTGACTTCAGTTCCAGAAAGAAAAGAAAAAAAAAAGCCTAACACTACATAAAACATTCTGTATTTAAACATCAGTCTGCTCTTTGGTCACATGCATTGTCTGAAGAATAATGCCATCCCAGTCGTCAGTAAGAGGACAGAGAGGAGAGCTGTGACCTGGGGTGTGCCAGGCTTTGTCCCTGAGTCCTGTCCTGATAGTAGGGAGCACTTTCCTTTTCGTGCGTGCGTGCATGCGTGCGTGCGTGCGTGTGTGCGTGCATACCCGCATTCAGATGTCCTCACAGGCAAGAAGAGGACATCAGATCCCCTGGAGCTAGAGTTACAGGCAGTTATGAGGCACCCAAAGTAGGTGCTGGGAACTGAACCCAGGTCCTCTGCAAGAGTAGTCGGTCCTGGTAACCGCCGGGCCATCCCTCCAGCCCCAGGCCACTGCTCTTGATATTGTGAGCTGATTTTGTCCCCTTAGATTTGCCTAGGGAGTCCTAGGCCCTTTTCTTTTCCACAGCTGATTTACACACTCTGCTGGGGATTGGTTTGAGGTCCTCTGTTTGCGTGAATGTTCTATTTCTGTTATTGTCCCTGGAAGTTATATTTGGACTGAAACATTCCAAACTACTCATAAAATCTTCCTTGGCTAACACACATACGCACATACTTATACAAACACTTCACTACACATATGTATCCATACAGATAGATGCATACGTTCATATGTGCACACTTGTATATAATACATATAAACATATAAGCAAGTGCATGCACACATACACATACAATATACACACACACACAGATACCACATCTGCTCCTCACTGCAAACTTGACTCTTGCTTAATACAAGACACTGCAGTTGTATTCGGTTGTATTTTGACCTGCCTGTGGTCTGGCTGAGCTCCCTGAGGGGACCACGGAGTGTGAGAATTGGTTTACTTCTCCCCCTCTGCAGCAGGACTGGCATCAGAGGTCTTAATGGCTTAGACGGTGTCCTTTCTCTCTGCAAATGTCACTGGTGGCCTGGTTTATTATTCATTCAGGGTTCGTTCCGAATGGCTGGGAGCAGAACTCAGCACATTCATCAGTCTCAGCTTAGAGGACGTTTTTAATTTGATGACACCAACTTCTCCTCTGACATTTGTGCCTAAATCATTTTAACAAATAACCAGCCCTGCGATCGCCATGGAATCCCAGCCACACTGAGCAGGGGAGAGTGTCACCTATGCAGGCTTTAGAAAGCCCCGTCTTGAGGACTCCATCTCAGCAGGGCCATGAAGTCATTGCCGGTTCAGAGCACATTTTGATGACAGCCGTAGGAGTCAGGATTTACTTCAGTGAAAACTGGCAGGTGTTGGAGGTGAGTCAGGAACACACCATGGCTGCTTATACTCACGGACCTGCTACATCAGTCATGATCCTGCAGGCAAAGACACAGAGCTGTGCACCAAACTGACAATGTCCATCTTGGACCACGTCTCCCTGCTCGGTATATCTTGGAACATTTGGAGGTGTTCTCAGAATGCTTCATGGTGTCAAATGCTCTCCTTTTGGTCCCCAGAGCTTCCTGTTTTAAATCATTCTGCGAACACTGAAGATTCTCTCGGTAGGTGAGCCAAGTGATTCATTCGCCCTCCAGTACCTACTGTGCTGTGTGTCCCACACAGCAGTCTCTGGTCACATGACTAGTCCGTGAGCCACAAAAGGGAACGGAATGATGGCATCCACACGGATGCAATCACAAGCCAGGCTGAGCTCCAGGTCCAAATGCAGAGGGAGGCGGGGAGGACACTGAGGAAGCTAATTTAGCATGAGAGGATGGGGTGTGAGCTTGGCATGCGGGGGAGCTGTCGGGAATAAGAGGATGGATACAGAGACGACATCAGAAATGGAAAAACAGGTGTGGGAGTGAGGGGGTTTATGGCAGAGGGAAGGCGTGGTGTTGGGACTGCTACATTTGGGGCTTGAGTTGAGTTCTTGAAGGCGGGGGCCTTTGGCCAGAAGCAAATCAGTGAGCTATTCAAGTGCAATGTTGAGCAGGCCTTTGGGGGACATGCAGAGGGGAGCATGGGCTACAGACTCAAATGTGAAATTCATCAATGTCGTCGTCGGTGTCACCCACATGGACCAGCTAGCCCAAGGAGGAAAAAAAAACAAGCCTTGGGCTTCTGGAATGTGGGATTGACAAGTCACAGAGCTTCAATGGAGCTCACCATGTTATATCCAAACTCATTGGTTGTTCTGTGCAAGGCAATCCTCACTGTAACGGCTCCAGTTGGGACTAGTGTCCCACAGATGGGACACGTGAGGGACAAGGCTTTGTTCGGGCATACCCATAACACCAGGTTCCAGTGTTCTGAAAGCCATTTACGGCAGGTTCAGTCAGATATGCTTTCATGTGCCCAGGCCTTCACCCCCTTTCTTGAACATTTGAGAGAGACACCATGCTGACCCTGTATAGTGGGAGGTAAGCTTGGTTTCTGATGTAAGATGAAATGGCCCCAGAGATTTTATTTTTATGGCTCTCTTGCACAAATCAAAGACATTTGCTCCAACCTCTCTGCCCATTTATCTCACTTAATTTTTCTGACCCCTTTCAGGCAAGTCCAGGATATATTTGATCTCCGAGCAGAGATCTGGATTTCCATTTACCAGCACCCTCAGAACCTGTTGACAGAAAAGAATAGTAATTATCAGCCCATTAACTTACCAGCTGACATTTTGTTATAGCCAACAAATGCAAACTCAGGTTCTCCAATGCACTTAGAAGCTATCTCTTCCTTCCTCTGTCTTCCAGGAGACAAGCCCCAAATCTAATGTTTTTATAATCAAATCACCTTTCGATATTTTCAGATTCTGCATATTTCTAGGCTGCCTTTAACTGGCAAAGTAACATTCACAGTGCTGACCCAGAGGGATTTGAGACCCACTGGGAGAAGGAAATTCTAGGGGTGGACATATATCTTGCCTAATGTCCGGCGTGTTCTGGTGGAAGGGACCCAGTGTGACGGTGATTTACAGCTCTAAACGATACATCCCACAGAGCCTATTCCGAAGTAGGTTTTCCGCAGTTTTGATTATAATCAGTGGAGCCCAATGCCCCAGAACCTCAATGTCTTCATACCCCATGTGAACTAGTTTGCCTCTAGGTGCTTGGACCAGTTTCTCTCTGGAGTTTCTTTCCCAGTGACCTTCTACAGGGGTCCAGATTTTACTCCCAGGGGTCATCTTAGTGGTCACGTGTTCTAGGAAACTCTCTGACGTCTTTTCCTCTTCGATCCTCACCTCTCTATCTACCCAGCACCCGCCGCCGGCTCTGCTCCCTACATGTCATAGTCAATGTCCGCTCACTGAGGAGCCTCCCTCTGAACTGAAGCTCTGGAGCGGTTCACCCAGGACCACATGAACATCCTTACTGTCCTATGCCTCTGGCTGAGTGCCATTCATGAAAAGAAGGTAACAGCAAATGGTCAAGGGACGCTGCCAGAACCAGCTCTCACCCTCAGGCTGTGAACAAAGCAAATACACCCAGAAAAACAAAAACCAAAGCCAGAAGGTGGAGCTCCACACTGGAAATACTCAAGGCCGGACACTGTGACTTGCCCCAGGGTCCTCTGGGGCTGAGAGTGGGACTAACGTGAAACTGTTTCCTACAGTTTGCAGGACGCTTCAGCTCTTGGGAGCCTTGATCTCCCGTCTGTCTTAGCCTGTTTGCTCTTGCTGTAACAGGAGCCCTAAGGCCAAATACTTTATTTCGGTTGTGGGTTTGGAGATGGAGTTCAAGAGCGTGGAGGCGCCATCTTCTTCTTAGCTGGTGTTAAGGGCCTCACAGCGCTTCATCTCACAGCAGGAAGCAGACACACAGCAAAGACAAAACACCACACAACAGCAGAAGCCAGAAAGACCCCTGAGAGCTGAACTCACCTTCAGAGCGTAGGCCTCATCACCTCTAACACTGCTGCTTTGAGGAAAAGGTTCAGCATGAGTTTTAGTGGAGACTAATCACACCCGAGCTGTGACATGACCAATGAAGATGGGGAATGAATCTTACCTTGAGGACTATGTCGCCAAGACAAAGGACATGATGTTTTAGGAAAAACCCTTAAGGGGACCAAATGTAAGGATCAAGTCTTCAGGGTCTCATCTTCCAGGCCAATGTATTAGTTACTTTTCTGTTGCTGTGACAAAACACCATGGCCTAAGGCCCCCCGGGCGAGAGGCTTTATTTGGACTTGCAGTTCCAGAGGATAGGAGTCCATCATGGCGGGAGGCTGGGCAGCTTATAGCCGGATGGGGGCAGGGGCAGCAAGCTTGGAGCTCACACCCTCAAGCGTGACCACAGGAGACGGCACACTAGAAGTGAGCTGAGGCTATGAACTCTCAGAGCCCCCACCTACTTCCTCCATCAGAGCCACACCAGCTTCCCATACAGCGCCACCCGAGGACCAAGTGTTCCAGCGTCTGAGCCTACGGGGCCGTGATGTTCCTCCTTCAGCCCGTGACAATGGTCCAGCACAGCACTGAGGGGAAATTAGCAGCAACAAGCGAAGTCACCCAAGTGTCTACCCTTCAAGACACCAAGGCCACTTCCAGGGGTCCAGCCCAAAGATAAGTGGCCCAAATTATGAAAGAGACAAATGTTAACTATTTTCAAACATTAAATTAAAAAAAAGAAAAACAGCTTGGCAAGGCAGTGGTGGCGCACACCTTTAATCCCAGCGCACAGGAGGCAGGGGCAGGGGGATCTCTGTGAGTTCGAGACCAGACAACCAAGGCTGTTATACAAAGAAACCCAAAAAAAAAAAAAAAAAAAAAAAAAAGACTTCTAAAATCAAAACCCAAGTGAAACAAATCAGTTTTACAGCGTATCTTCTAGGTAGCATAACTGCCCAGCTAGAACCATACCAGGGACTTAAATAAGTTTTCAGATTTATTTGTTTTACATGTATAAACACTTGGCTACATGTATTTATCTGCACCACATATATGCACTGCCCACACAGGCCAGAAGGGGGCATCAGATCCCCTGGACCGGTAGTCACAGATGATTGTGAGCCTTTGTGTGAGTCCTAGGAACCAAACCCAGGTCCTCTGCACAAGCACCAAATGTTTCTAACGGCTAAGCCATCTCGCCAGTCCCTTAAAATGATTTTATAATAATAATTGTATTGGTTAGGACTCGCTAGAAGAACAGTACTTATAGAATGAATCTATACATATATATAAAGGGTGCTTACTGGAGTGGCTTACAGGCTGTGGTCCAGCTAGTCCAACAATGGCTGTCTACCAAAGGAAGGTCCATGAATCTAGGAGCTGTTCAGTCTATGAGGCTGCATGTCTCGGCCGGTCTTCAGTACACACTGGAATCCGGAAGGAGTCGGCTCTAAGGCCCGTGAAGGAACGGACTTGCTAGCAAGAGCGAGAGAAGCAGGCAAAGAGAACAAGCTTCCTTCTTCCATGTCCTTTATATAGGCTGCCAGCAGGAGGTGTGGCCCAGACTGAAGGTGGCTCTTCAAGCCTCAGAAGACTTGGATGAAAAGTGGGTCTTCCCACTTCAAATGATTTAATTAAGAAAAAATCCCTCACAGGTATAGCTGCTTGGGATTTAGTTAATTCCAGATGTAGCCAAGTTGACAACCAAGAATAACCATCACAATAATACTGCCTAGCTAGCATGTAAAGATCACATAGAACTCCAGTGGCAGCGTCTCCCTAGAATGGATCCCTGTTTGTTCCTGTTGGTCCTGTCTGTAGATATTTATCTGCTGGGACAGCAGAATTGAATCACGGAGACAGGGGCATGAGAAACCTAAACTTAACTCTCTGGCTCCTTAGAGGGGAAGTCAATAACTTTAGTAACGCTATCTCTAACTCAGTATAACTGCTCCTCGACTCATGATGACCCTGCTAAAACTACCTTAAATTGGCCATATTGTCAAGTTGCCAATGTGCTGGATTCATCTCCCTACCCCACTGTCCAGGTCCATGCTGCGGGGCCTTGATGGTCTCCTTGTGGTTTGTAAGTGAACTGGGACCCATGGGGGCTGCCCGAAGGACTAGACAGCACAGAGATGGCCAGGGAAAGGATCTGAGTTCCAATTCCCAAGCATGGTTTCCGATGGTGTGTATTGTTTTCATAGTATCATAAAGTCAAAAATAAAAGTTAGAAGTTGAACTACAGGTAGGTTAGGGAATATTTGACATTTTCTATAATAAAAAGTTTTTAAAAAAAAACCAACAGTGTTACTTCTCAAAATTGTCAAAATATATGCAGCCTGCCAACAAAGGATTTTTTTTTTCCTACATATAAGAAAAAAATATTGTGTCTCATTGCACTCTGCCTTAAAGCTGTTCTTACTTCAGCCATTTGGGTTATCTACACCCTACACTAACCCATCCTCCAGAATCCCCCACAATCCAATTCAGAAGGCATCTATTCCATTGCAGAATAATATTTTTCACTAAATCAATCTTGACCTTAAGTCCAAGGTTGAAATTGCCACATTAGCACATATATGGCTTGCCAGCCCTGGCTGGGATCCTGACATTAAATTCCTACCTCGAGCCATGCTTTGATTATCTGCAAGCCTGCTCATATTCAAGCATCGGCACTGTATATTAAAGCTGCAGACATCACGGGTGGCCCCCAGCAGCCACACCTCCAAGACTGACGGGACTGACATGAAGCCTTCCACCTTCGACCCAAGACTTACTTGCATTCAGAATTCTTCCTCTGGAGACAGATGCTGGGCAACCCGGGTTCACCCACGTACTGACCCACCAGGTCAGTGGTTCTCCACCTTCCCAATAATGCAACCCTTTATTACAGTTCCTCATGCTGTGGTGACCTCCCAATCATAAAGTTATTTTCGTTGCCACCTCATAACTATAATTTTGCTACTGTTATGATTGTAATGTAAATATGTTTGGAGATAGAGGTTTGTCAAGGGGGTCGTGACCCACAGGTTGAGAACCTCTGCCCTAGGTCACGGTACCTTAGGTATACTCTGTGGCCCAGCACCCAGCCAGCTCCAAGAATCCCTTTGCCAGTTCTCAGTCTCGGAAGTTGATCTGTCAGGAAGAAAGTGGTGATATGGCTTCAGAAAAAGGCCTGGGAATTGTGACCCCCCTGACCTGCCTCGTGTAGCTGGTGTGGCCTGGCTGCAGTGGCTTGCCATATGAGATGTGGCTTAGGTGACATCTGAAAGTTAGGTCCGATGTGAGTGGGGACAAGGCACAAGTACCACAGCTGTTATGTCAGGATCCGGGCACACTGGGACCACTCTGTCACCAGGCCCTGTGAACAAGGCAGGTTCCACGGAACCCGCTCCCTGCTCGGGACCAAGGCTCCTTCCCCTCCACTCCCAATATCACAAGATGACGAGGTTCCCGGATGCAAGCTTCTGGCTTGGATCCGTGGGAACCAAGGATGGAAAAATTCTAGCAATAAAATCAACATTCACTCACACTGCACACGCTGGCGGCCTGCAGAATCAGGGAGCTTGGTCCTGTGTCTGAGTCCACTGTCCTCGGGGGGGGGGGGGGGGGGTGTTGGAGAAGGTGGACTTTGTCAGCTTCAAGCAGACACCACCCACCTGGGACGAGTCTACCCACAGAACTCCCCCAGTGTGGAAGGTGGAGGTGGGGCCTTTAAAACAGAGCAGGAAGCAGGGTTCTAGGTCACTTCCTGTTGCTATGCTAAAATGCCCTGATAGAAATTTAGGCTGCAGTGTGTCATTGAGGGGAAGTCCAGATAGGAACCTGAAGCAGCTGGTTACACCCACAGCCAAGAGCAGAGCATAAGTACAAACTTAGTGCTTAGCTTGTTCTACACATACAAAGTCCAGTACCTTCTGCCCAGGTGGTACCACCTACAGTGGCCTGGGTATCCCCACATCAATTACCATCATCAAAGTAATCCCTCATGGACATGCCCACAGGCCAACCTGATCTAGAACATTCCTACGGAGACTTCCTAGGTGACTCTGCATCGAGACAAGTTGACAGTTAATGACCCAGCCTCTTTCTCCCCGCCTCACGTCACCCCCACTTTTCCTGGCTTCCTTCTTCCCTCACTCTGTTCAGTTGCTCCAGCACGAACAGCCCAGCAGCCACAGGGCCTTTGCACGAGTTGTCCCCTCTGCCTAGAAGGCTGAACGTTCCCTTCTCTGTCTCCCAAGCTTGAGCTCTCCTCCACACCGCTCTAGGTCTCCCCTTTCCTTTCCCTGGGTCCTGGGAGAGGACTCTTCGCCCTGCTTCCTGGCAAAGCAGAATCCCTTGATTACACATTTGTCAGCCCCTTCACAGCCCCTTGCCATATGGCCCCTGGCTCTTAAACATCCCCACAAGCCTAGGTGTAAAAGGATTGATTGCTGGCCTACAGGCCACAGAGAGGCAGTGGAACCTCCAGGCAGCAGGGCCTGTGGGACAGTTAGGTCAGCTGAGGTATGACCTAGGAAGAGCTTCTGGTCTTCCTCTCCTTCCTCCCCACCCCACCCCATCGCTCTCTTCTCTTGGCTGCCACGAGATGAGCATGTTTGCTCTGTGGGGTGTTCCTGTCATACGGGTCAAAGCAGCAGGGGCCAAGAGAGCCAAAGCCAAAGCCAACACTTCCTCCTTGTAAGCTGTTTATCTCAGGCACTCTTGGTGGCAGAGCATTGGCTAAGGGACCCCTGATCCGACCTGAAGTCGCTCAGCTGGTTGTTTCCTGGATGGATGGATGGATGGATGGGTGGATGGATGGGTGGATGGATGGATGGATGGCTCAGAAGTCACTGTGAAGTATTACTTCCTATGTGTTCTATCTATCTATCTATCTATCTATCTATCTATCTATCTATCTATCTATCTATCTTCCCTTTCCTCCTTCCCTCTCTCCAAGGTCTCAGTATATAACCCCAACTGCCCATCAGACTCTTGATCCTCCTGCCTCAGCCTCCTGGGGCTCACATGCCCAGATCAAAGGCGTGTACCACCATGCCCGGAGTTCAGTTTCTCTCTTCTGAGTTCCCTCTGAGGGTCCGCTGAGCCTGGTCTCAGGGTTGGTGGTGCGTGCACCGTCAAGGCCCTTCAGCTCTCTTCCTCCCTGTGTGTCAGGAGTGTCTTCCTGACAATAGCATCTCAGACGGCCAGACTCCGGCCTTTACTTCTCCCTCCCTGTTCTCACATCAGACTTGACCTGGCCAGGGTTCAAACCACTGGACATCCTGTCATTACACACATGTATTACATCAGCTACCCCAAAGGCTTCTGCCTGCTTAGAGCCAGCAATTGTCACTGTCAGAATGGACCAATTGCTAGGACAAAGAAAAGAAACCTCCAATGAAGGCTTAATCCTCACTCACTCACTCAGAGGGCAGCATCAATGTTCTAAATGCTCAGTCCTCCACCGAGGGGGTGACTCAAAGGTCTTCTCATCAGGTGACACTCCTGACTTCAATACCCATGATGTAAAAGCATCCAAAAATAAAAACATGATTAATTCACTCTCCCCAGTTGCCAAATCAGTCAAGACAGTTCATCAGATGACAGTCCTGCCTAGTAGGAAAAAAAAGAAATTTAGAAGTCATGACTGTGGCTTCTTCAGACGTCTTTTGTAGTTGTTGTTTTGTTTTTTACTCTTTGGGGGCCTGCCACCCAGCTCCCAAATAAATACATGGAGATTTATTCTTACTTATAAATGCCTGGCCTTAGCTTGGCTTGTTTCTTGCCAGCTTTTCTAACTTAATTCATCCTGTTTCTTTTTAACTACATTTTGCCTCTGGGCTTTTTATCTTTCTTTATTCTGTATATCTTTCTTTCCTTCTTACTCTGTGGCTTGCTGTGTGGCTACGTGGCTACGTGGCTGCGTGGCTGTGCCGCTGGCCCCTAGTGTCTTCCTCTCCTCCTTTTCTTGCTTCTCACTCCCCTCTTGAGCCTAGATTTCTCCTCCTATTTATTCTCTCTGCCTGCCAGCCCCATCTATCCTTTCTCCTGCCTTGCTATTGGCCGTTCAGCTCTTTATTAGACCATCAGGTGTCTTAGGCAGGCACAGCAACACAGCTTCACAGAGTTAAACAAATGCAACATAAAAGAATGCAGCCCGTCTTTACATCATTAGTCAAATATTCCACAGCATAAGCAAATGTAACACATCTTAAACTAACATTCCACAACAGTCCTTACTGTTATTTTAATCACACCCTTCCTTCTGTGTTTATTCCCCTCCCCCTTCCCTAAGAGCCCCCTCCCCCATCCCCCATCAGATCACGCGTACTCAGCTGTTCCCCTTTACCCTCCTCCTGCCTTCTGCGTTTACCTGTCTTTATTACTTTTGTGCCAAGTCCTTGACGATAAGTCTCCTGTAAAACACAAGTCAGTCAGCTCTCTTCCTTCCTTACAAACCTGCCGCAGAGTCCCCAGACATCACCCACGAACACCACTCCCCCTCTGGCTTGGTCCCTGCTCACCTCTCTGAGACCATTTCGGCATTCTTCCCCTAGGACATGCAAGGCCCTTGGTCAGCTCCACCCCCACCCCCAGCACTGGAAGGAGGCAGCAGAGCACCCCAGAAAAACACCTCTGTGAAGACAAGACCACCCAAGGGCTTCAGAACCGTGAAAGAACAACTTTAGGTTTGTGGAGGAAAAGCCTCCACGAAAGGCCGGGGAGCCTTGGCTGGACCTCGTGCTCTAAGTGAAAGCACCTTTTATTTCTCACTTTTCTAGATCATGTTCTAAGACAAACAACCATCTGTGCGCGCACCCCAGGCGCCCCTCACACCTACGATCCTTCATCCCTTCCCTATCTTCAGAACTAAGATCCTCTTCTGCTGCCTGGAGGAAGATTTTTCTGGGACTTCCCCTCAGCATCTCTGAATACAAGTACGTTATTACTTTACATAAAGCATGGCGGGAGGACGTTTTGTGTCGATATAATGTGTGTTAATCTGACACTTCAGCCCACTTGAAGCATATCCCTTCGCAAAGCCAGGCTTCCCTCATCGCTACTCCGCTGAGCATCCCCGGTCGGCTGATAGAAAGCAAGTGGTACCCAGGGTGCCGGGCATCCTCCCCTACTCAGGCCTCTCCTCAAGGGCCTGCTTCCTGCTCTCCACGGTGGTTCTCCAGAGGCCTGGCGCTCTTTGACGGGATAACTTCAGCCTTCCCCTGCCAGGCCCACCGCCTCTGGGGCCTGGTATCAAGAGCTTACAGAATCAGACCCTGGCAGGACTGCGCAGGCGCAGCAGGTTGCCAGCTGCAACCCCACCCCTTACCCTCAGCAAAGAGAGCAGGGACGGCCTGACGCACTGGAAGGGTTTGGGCTGAGCTGGCAAGAAAGCAACAAGCAGAACGCTCTCTCTCACGGGGTTCCCACGGCGCCACAAGCTGGATGCAGGACTCCTGCCCGAGGCCGGATGAGGCTTGAGTGGCCTGGGGGAATTTCCAGTGAAATCTCTACTGATTTAGTCACATGCATCATCCTTTGAGGCGCAGGACCGGGCAGCAGAAGTTCCTGTAAAGAAGCCACGTAGAGTCCGTGTGGGGGTGAGTGCTTTCCTGCGTGCCCGTGACATCATCAGCTTGTGTAAACACCTCCGTGTCCTAGGAAGGTAGAGTGGGTCTCTTTCACACTCAACTAAGGAGACTGGAACCCACCTGACATCTCGCAGTTGGAAGGAAGAGCCCCCCCCCCCCCCCGGGGATGAAGCCAGAGCGCTCGGACCCAAACATCCAAGCTCTTGGCTGCTTCCCAGCATAGAGCCTCCCCAGGACCAGAGAGCGAACACAGGTCTTCTTGCTGTTCTGCCTGGGATCAAAGCCCAGTTCTGCCTCCCTGTTGCTGTGTGACTTGGGCCGGTTGCTAAACATTTCTGTGCATCATTTCCTTTGCGTATAAAACGAAAATAAACATAAGACCTAGGGTGTGGAATTGCCAGTGGATTAAGTCACTCCGCATACATGAGTGTGGGGGAATGTCGCAAGCCTTTAATCTTGCTTCCCTTTTCTGTATAACCAAGTTTTGCCAGCTCTGGGCCCTGCAGATCTAACCCTTATACACCAATTCAGATTATTTCAGCGGTGGAGAGAGGTCCTCGTTCTGGCTGCTGGACACTCTGAGCCCTGAGGCCTCACGCTCCTCTGAGGATATTTAGGGTATCCTAAGAAGGGACCCTCCTGGACTGACCACCGAGGCTCCGTCTTGAGACGCCACATCTGGAGGCTCGCATCCAGATCAATGTCTGCTCACTGATTTCTGCGCCCACATCAAGGCCTGGGCAGCCACCATCCACCTCTGCTGGTGGTTGGTTCCCCATCTGGCCTGACCGGGAGAGCTAAATCCTGCAGGGTCCAGTCTCAACCAAGCTGGAACTCTCACCCCCAGCTCAGGAAAGGTGCCCTTACCCCCTTTGGCGGGTCTTCTGCTTGGTAGAGAAAAGATAATTACAGGGTCCTGCAGGGCAGACGCGGACTGTAGGCCAGACAGGAAGGGGCGGCGCAAGCTTCTGGGCTGAAAGTGTAGACAGACGGAACTCTGAGATCTTGAGTTTGTCACCTCCCAATTCGCTGAGTTCCTCGCCCAAGTTGACGCCCCATTTACGCAGACCCTTACAGCCACCCTCACGCTTAGCTTGGACATAGGGAACCACAGATGCCCCCACCTCTTATTAACCTTTGGCAGAGTGCTGGACACGCCCCTAGGTCATTAGAGCCACGGGAAAGAAACATGTGGCTATTCTGGGAGTAACCACTAGATGGCGCACCCGCCCTGCCAACTGAGGAGCACTTCACTGGAGCACTGTGTGATGGAGCCCGAGCCTTACCCTTTAATGAGCAGGCTGCTCCCCATTGGCCTCCAGGTAGGGAAAGCCCCGGGCTCCCACCCAAAGTTTCAGGTCTGTTTATCCTCTAGCATGAGAACGCTCCCACAGCAGCATCTGACCAGGGGAAGAACCCCTGAATACAGGGGGGCTGCGGCGCTCGGGTGAATCGCCCGCCCCGTCCCACCCTGTGGACCTTGGGATGGGTCTCAAGTTCACGAAGACTGGAGAGTGGAGCCACAGCAGGCTAAGGGCTGGAGGGTTTTGCAGGCACAGTGTGAAGGGCTGGGGTGATGCTCTGTGGTAGTGATCATCTAACAAGGACAAGGACCTGGGTGTGAGCCCCCCCCCCCCAGCCCCGACAGAGAAGGAAAAGGGGTGCAGGGGGCTGTGCCCAGGTGCTCAGCGCACGGCAGGCCGAGCTTCTCACGTAGTTTCACTTCCGGTCTCACATGGTGCCTCACACTCATCCCGATGTGCACAGAGGCCAAAAAACAGCGCCTGGCCAGATCTTCTACATTCGTGGCCCCTAAGATAAATTCTGAAAGGTTTGTACTTCCTCCATAGGACCCAAGTTCGAGTCCCAGCACCGGCATGGTGACTCGCAACCATCTGCAACTCCAGTCTCAGGAGATCTAATGCCTTCTTCTGGCCTCCTTGGACACTGCATGTAGGTAGTGCACATACATACATGCAGACAAAACATCCATGCACATAAAATAAAAATAATAGAAGAATGTGCCTTATACAGAGTGTTCGGGAACAAGCTGAGCTGCCCCCCCCACCCGCCCCCCAGTATCTCGGGGCTGCAGGAGGCCGCAGCAGATGCAGGATACTCTTAGGACTGTGGCTTTCCTACGTTCACAGATGGTGGGGGGAGGCCTGCCGGAGAAAGGCCTCTCTTTCCTGAGCTCCAAAAATACCGCTCTCCTGAGCAATTGATCTGCTTTGATGTCACGCACTCGTCTGTTTTCCTTGCTCCGGCAGCTCCCAGGCCTGGCAGCCCCCTGGAAGGAAGCATTTAAGCCTGCACGTGGATCTCCTCCCAGCTCCATGCTGTCCACACAGACCTTTCTTCTCCACTCCATCCTTTCCAGTGTACATTAAACTTCTGTTCTCTGTCCCCCTGATAAGCTACCTCAGGTCCTTTCTGGAACAGAACAGAACAAACAGAACATACACAAAATAAAACAGGCAGCAGAGACTTTTTTTTTCCTGTGGCCTTAGGTTACCTTCCCAGGAAAATTTTATAAATTTCTGCTAGACTTCCCAAGCGATGACATTTTCTACAATGCCTCTCCTAAGAGTTGCCGTTCATTTAGACGGCTCCAGGCGGCAATGTCTCCTACACGTTTTGATTTTGCGGGCGATACACAAAGCCCTCATTTTCTGATTTTCAAGAGGTAGGACATTTATCTTCTAATTTCCCTCCGAGGACATCGGTAGCTGGCTGGGGGAAGAGGTTCGCACATTTAAATTTGGTGCATCGGGAGGTTTAAGTAGCCCGGTGACAGTTTGGATCCGAAATGACTCACAAACGTTCTAATGTAAAAAGGCATGGCTGCCAGCCTCGGACCTGTCGGGAGATGCTGAGATCTCCAGAAGATCGAGTCGAGGAGGAGAAGGCTAAGTCACTGGCGGTGTATCCTAGACAGGGATACTGAGGCCACGGACTCCTCCCCACCCTCTCTCCCTTCCTTCCGTCCACGGTGAGAGCCTCCTCTATGGCTCTCTCTCTCACTACCATGGTGTTCTGCCTCTCACCTCAGGTCCCAAAGTGACTGGACCAACCGTGAGCTGAAGCCTTGGAGACCATGAGTCAAATGGAAGTCAATACTCGTTCTCTGAGCTGATTCCCTCCTGTGTTCGGTCACAGCAACAGAAACCTGACTCGCACAGGCAAAAGCGAGCAAGGCCATCTTCCTCATCCGGCAGATTGCTTTCAAACGTGTGTCAACAAACGAGAGAAAGCCACACTCTCGATCCCCCCCCCCCAAGCAGCACATGTGAGCTGTTGTTTCAAATATTAAGACACTTTTCAAAGCTCTCAATTTCTGGGGCTGGAGAGATGGTTCAGCAGTTAAGGGCACTGGCTGCTCTTGCGGAGGACCTAGGTTCAATTCCCAGCACTCCCGTGGTAGTTCAATCATCCGTAACCCCAGTTCCAGAGGAACTGACGCCCTCCTCTGACCTCTGAGAGCACCAGGCATGCACATGATGCTTATAAATACATTCAGGCAAAACACTCACGCACATAAAATAAGATAAAAAAAAAAATCTCAATTCCTGAATCTCAAAGATCTGTAGAATGACTACATGAATTAATGGAACCAACCCACAATTCCAGGGAGAATGAACGGAGGAGCAATTGAGTCAGCGGCTGTTCCATAGCCATGTCCCCAGGCAAGAGTGACCAACCTGCAAACAGATGAACATTTGTGAATGGAAGCCGTGGTCTTCTCAAGGGAGAAGGGACTAGGCCAATGCTGGCCGCCGACCTCTGAAAACCGACAGGTGTTCGTTTGCCTGTGTCTGTCTGTTGAGAAAGCGTCTTGCTAGATTGTAGTTTCAGACCTCAGTGGGCCTTAAACTCAAGATTCTCCTGCCTCATCCTCCCAAGGAGAGATCATAAATGTGCACCACACCGGGTTTGAAGGACAAAGACCCAGTGGATAAAGGCATCGTAAGGACACACCTGAAAATGCCGATTTTATAATAACCGAGTCCTCTCTCTCTCTCCTCCTCCGCTCGCCCGGCCCCGCAGGAGTAATCTACTGCATCCAGCCCTTTCCCGCCTCCTCCTTCTGAAATCTATCTGTCTCCGTAGCTGTTTATCTCCAAGCATTTTTATTTCCAGAGATGCCTAAAGAGGACAAGTGACTCACAGGCCCGGGAGCTCAGGTGAAAAAACCTTCTCTCCGCTCACCACCTGGGCTTCCCAGCCACAGATTTCCTTTAAACACACAGTTATCATTAAAATTCTCCCTGGTTTTCAGTTTGTGTTGGTTGCTGTTTTCGTTTGTCTTTTGAGACAGTATCTCACACTGTAGCCCATACAGCCTATGCTGGCCTCACACGCTCCCCGATCCTCCTGCCTCAGCCTCCCAAGTACAGGGGTCACAGGCGTGCATGCCACAGCTGGATGTTGCTTGTGTCCCACGGCAAGGCCTCCCTCTCCCTGGCTCCTGACTTTCCTGTTTCTGACTCTCCTATTTAACATCCTTCTTGGGGTATTTGGGCACCGAGTACCACGGGACCCAGCTCTCAGAAAAGCAATCCAGGCGGCCAAGCGCCTGCCGCTGGTGTCTTTCAGCAGGCTGGCGGTAGTCCCTTCCAGCCAGCCTGCTTCCGGCCTGGGGAAATGCTTCCTCTGCCGTGTTGACCAACCACTAAATGTACAAAGTCATTAATCCTCTTCATAAAGGCTCTAATGGAGCTTTCTATCAGTCGGTGAGATAGTGGTTGCAGCCCTGGAGATCAAGGGAGCAGTGAGAAGTCCAATGGCGGTGGGAGTGGGGGTGGGGAGCCCCATCCTTTCTCCTCTGTAGCTGTCCAGATGTAAAATGGACGTTTGTTAAATCACCACTGTGTGCGTTTGTTTATGGGGATTAGTTTGCTTTCCAGAGCATTTAGCAATTGTTCACAGACTCACAGTGCCCCAAGAACACTATCTTCACATATACATATATGTATACGTGTGTGTGTGTGTGTGTGTGTGTGTGTGTGTCCCTGATTTTCCTGTATTGTCCCAGCTTAGAAGCTATTCACGCCAAGATGCTTCGAGAAGGAAAGTCAGGCCCAGGGTCACAGCCCCCCAGAGCTAGGCCCGTAGCCCTGAAGCCTGACTCAAAGGCTTCCACAGAGACCCTTAACCTTTTCCAGGTCCACAGAGCTGCTCTGAGCACTTGCTGACCATCCTTTCATGACTCACAGCCCCCTGGGACCCCGGGGTCTGTAGACAGTGTGCTGCTCAGGATGAAAACATGGCTCCCCAAGACAGAGCCCAGGAGCAGCCCTGGGTTACCCTCCACAGCAGTGTGACTTTGAGACCAATAAGATGCCCATCAACTTCACTGTAGACTAGTTTTCTAGAACATGCCCTGAGACACGCCCCCCCCCAAAAAGGACTCTCAGAAATGCCGCTGCGGCCCAATGGGAAATTCAGGAAAGCTGTATTGGGAGAGAAAGAGCAGTTGCCAAACAGCCCCAGGTCTCCAGTTTCCAAAGCCCCGGGAAACACGAGTTTCTGAAAGATACCAACATTCATCCGAGGCAGCTCTGATGTCTGCAGGACCCGGATGTCTGACGGTGACAGCAGAGACATAACTTAAGCACCTAGAAAGAGTTCCCAATGAAACCCTTCTCCTGGCCGTCTCCCAGATATGCAGCCACCCAGGGTTCCCAGGTTTTTAGAATGGTCTGGAAAACTTATTTGGATAGATAGCCTGGCACCTGGAGTTGTAAGGGACCCCCATGTGGTCTCTTCGCAGGAACAACCATCATGTTGTAGCTACTGGCCCTCTGGGTGCTGACGTGTGTGTGTGTGTGTGTGTGTGTGTGTGTGTGTGTGTGTGTGTGTGTGTGTGTGTGTATGTGTGTGTGTACTGCTGTGTTAACCCGAGCACCCTAGATAGCATGGGAAATCAATCAATTAGTCCCTCCACACGTTGTCTACAACACAGACTCCATTTCCTCAGGAAGCAGAGGTCCTTGGTTGCCCAGCCCAGCCCTCAGCCCAGATGTCTGTTTAGCACTTTGGACATCTGACTCTCTGACCCTATCCAGCACCATCCTGAGAAGTGATCAGTGGAAGCGAGTCATGGGGAAGCATTGGGCCACCCCACCCTCTATGAAATAAAGCCAGGGCAGCGAGGCTACTGTGGAACCTTTAGGGACCTATCTTCTGTAAGAGCCTTTGGATAGGACCTGGGACGTTCTTTACGCCGTGCTACTAGAACCAAAGTTGAATCGTGGGCTGCTTCTTTTAGCTGTGTGGCGTTGGTATTAGCTTGGGCGGACTTTGTTGCTTGCTTTCTCTGAGACACTGTTATGGCATATGTTAACGATATATCGAAAGCGTGCAGGTAGTGATTATGTGAACTGAACTGTGTGACCCTTCCTAGGCACTCCTTTAGTTTTTGTGTTACAGGGAATATGGATATGTACCCAGACTCACGGGGGGACTAGTCAAACTTCCCAGTCGTGACCGGGGATCTGACACTTCTGATTCCATCCCTGAGTCTGAGTGGAGATCAACACTGTTGTGCTTTGTTTTTTAAAGCAACAGGCTGGGTAGCCCGCAAGGATGCGTCCCATCAAGACACGTGTTCTACCGGACTAGGAGCAGAGGGTGCCAAAGCCACCCTGCTTCTCGGGTTTCCTTCCCTGCCTCACTGGGGTGGCTGTGAGCAAGGTAAATATTTAAGCGAGCGTCTTGCATGATTGTCACCGATTGGACTGTACGGGGCACTATGAGGCAACAAGCTGGCGCCTGCCCAAGTGGCCCGGCTTCGAGAGACGGTGTTTTTGCCAACATCGGGAGTCTGTTGGCCACCGGTGGCTGATAGGTAGCAGAACTCTCTGGTCTGCTAATTGTCTTGGAAGCGGACCCTGGAATGGAGAGAAAGAGAACGGGCCTGTAATCAAAGCTGCCCTTGGGCAGAATTTCCCAGCAATGGCAGTTGGCAACTAAGCTCTGGGCTCTGGCTGGGGACTTTACATACACTGGCTCCTTTAGTCCTGACAACGGGCGGGGAGGAGGCTACTACTGCCACTCAGAAAGGGGGACTCGGGGAGGTTAAGTGATTTGCTCCAATTCTACCACTACTTGGTGTCGGATCGAGGGGATGCACCCAGAATCGGGGAAATGCATCCGCCTCCTGGCAAACAGAAGCCACACCGCTCTCCTGTGACCCCGGAGCCCGGTCAGCAGCATTGCTTGGGTTCTGAGCTCAAGATGCGAGGCTGCAGCGTGAGCCCGTGGAGAAGCTGGCAGCGCAGGACGCTCAGTCACGCCCCAGCGCTTTACAGATGCCCAGAGGGAAATACGTCCTGTCTTATTTCAAATGTTCTATTTATTAAGACAGGTCAGGCGTGGTAGCGTTTGCCTGTGATCCCAGTACTTGGGAGGTAGATGCAGGAGGATCCCGAGTTTGAGGCCAGCTGAGGCGACATCAGAAGTTCTGGGTCAGCCAGATCTACCAAATGAGATCCTGTCTCTAAAAACAACAGAGAGACTGGGAACCCAGAGGCAGATGAAAATAGAGCCGTGTGGGACCGAGGGGCTGTGCCCCTCTTAGGAGAGAAAAACCTCACCTTCCCTCGACCCTGCCCAGCTGGCCGTCTTCCTCTGCTCTCTGCACTTGGCTCCGCACAGCCAGCCCTTCTACCCTATGCCCTGGGGTACCCTGATCACCTGTAAGCTCCTCAACCATGTTTCCATGTAGCAGTTCCCATCAGAGGTGAAACGAGCCATTCAGAGTCCTCCGTGTTCGGGCCCTCCTCTCTACATACCTCCTGACCGTGGAGGCAATTGTGTGTGTACATGTTGGGGCTTCCGTGACCCTCAGACCCATTGGAAAGGTCAGCTGCGCTTTTCAGGCATGTACCCAGGATACACACAGCGGACATGCTGCAGACGCCAGCTGGATGGCTGAGGAACTCAGAGGTAGCCCGAAAATGAAACTATCGCATGCCAACTGCATATTCTGTGTCAGGATCATCCTTAATTCCATTCTCTCCAATCAAAACTCCTCTCTGACGTGGTTTCCCCCAGACACTAGGAAATGCTGCCTCACAGAGCTTTCAGACAGGATAACCAGCCACCCGGTGACAGCCCAGTGTTCAGATGCTCTTCAGAAAACCGCCATCAGAGCCAGGCATTGGTGGCACATGTCTTTAATCCCAGCACTCGGGAGACAGAGGCAGGTGGATCTCTGTGAGTCCGAGGCCAGCCTGGTCTACAGAGTGAGATCCAGGAAAGGCGCAAAGCTACACAGAGAGACCCTGAATTGAAGAAAAAAAAAACCCACCATCAGGGAACGTGAGAACTGAGTGAGAAGTAATCAGTGACCTCAGAGAACTGTTCTCAAATCTCCAGGAAGATTGTTCTAACAGCTGGGACAAGCCATCTCAGTTTTGAAGAACCACTTTAACTCAGAAGTACTAATTGAGCAGCTACAAAGAGCTATGGACAGTGGGAGACTTTGTCTCTTCTTGGTTTCTTCACTGTAGACACAGAATAATGCCCCCCAACCCACTGATGAGATGAACATGCTCAGGTGGTACAGACCCCCACCTACTGATGAGATCAGGCATGCTCAGGGTGGTACAGCCTGATGTCAATATACCAATTCCAGGAACCAGTGAGCATGAGACCTTACATGATCAAAGGACTTGGCAGATATGACTCAGTTAAAGACCTTCAGGTGGGGAGAGTCTCCTGGGTTATCTGGTAGACCTGCAGAAGGCACAGAGGGCCTGTAGGAGGGAAACCAGAGTCACTACCAATCCTAAGATACGCCATGAAGGAAGAGATGCACCCAGGAGCCAGAGAGAGTAGGCAGCAGGAAGCTTCAAAAGACCAGGCCTCTCCCCTAGCACCCTGGAAGGCATGCACCCTACTGACGCCTATGTAGATTTCTCAGAACAGTGGGACGTATTTTCTCTGTTTTTTTCAGTTTGGTTTGGTTTGGTCTGGTTTCTGAGTTTGTCCGTTTTAAGAATTCCATTTGTGATCATTTATCGCAGCCATGATGGTGGCCCAATACACCCTTCTTGAAGATGGAGGTGACAGCAGAATGTTTCATAGTGTGGTGGTTAGCAGGCTGGCCCCTAGGAACAGAGAAGACAGCAGCCTTCACTCCTGGGGTGTGGTTAGAGGAGGGAGCCCACAGAACAGACTCAGCCACCACTGTTTTTCTTATAGAATTGTTATTCTACAATTACCTTCTAGAAAGATCTTGTCTTAGAGAGTGTAAACAGGCCCACTCCATC